TCTTGCTATAGATACTGGGAGTTCACCAGACTGGAATGAGAATTGTAAGACATCAAATAATGAAACCGTAAGAGAGGCCAAAAGCATTTATAAAATTCTATGGCATTGATAAGTTCAGCAATGGCGAATGGGGAATTTAAGAAAGAAGACTCTTCATCAGAGAGACGGGGTATATAATCATGAAGTTCAGAAGTCAGGTTAATGGGATTGGGGCTAAAGAGGGTGCTATAAAAGGAGGAAAGGAAGGAAAGTATGGATTTTGGGTCGGTGAAAATTTCGCCATTGCAGTCTCGAATTTGGTTAATAATCTGACTGACTACTACAGGGTGGGCCACTTAAAAGTAGCCCGCCTCCTATAATACTGCGACAGTAAGAACGAGCAAGTGGATTGTTTTTCCAAAGCTGTAGTGACTTACCCACATGTTACAAGAGATGCTGGAAGTGGTCCCCGTTGACGTCTATACACCTCTGGGCACGTCGCAGCATGTTGGCTGATACTGCCTGCAGCTCTTCAAAAGTGATGCTCCGGATAGTGTTGGTGATGTTCTGCTTGAGTTCATTCAGGGTATGAGGATTATTTGCGTACACCTTCTGTTTTAAATTTCCCCATTGATAAAAATCGCATGAGGTCAAGTCCGGGGAACGTGGTGGCCATAACCCCTTGCTCACAGTTCGCTCTTCCGTAAACATTTCATGAACTAGCCAGTGAGTTGCGGGACGTGTGGCATGTTGCCCCATCTTGTTGGAAGAAGGAGTACATTCTTTCTTGTGGTGTCAGTTGGTCGTAAAACTGTTCCAAGATGCCCAGATAAACCTCAGTATTCACTGTTGATTCGAAGAAAAATGGGCCCACTATCCGTGTTCCTGAAACTGCGCATCAAACACCGATTTTCTGGTCATGCAGTGGTGTTTCGTGAGTCACGTGGGGATTCTCAGAAGACCAGTGCCGCGTATTCTGTGAATTCACGTAACCTGATAAATAAAACCATGCTTCGTCCGACATAAAGTACAGCAGTGGGTCCAAAAGTCCTCCAGCAATCATAGTCAGCAACCACATACAGTAATTAACGCGTTTACCTTTGTCGAGCTGTTTCAGCTCCTGCACACATGTTATTCGGTATGGTTTCAGATTCAGAGATTTCAGCACACGCCGACACGTCGTTCGTGATACACCAACTTGCTGGGATAGTCTCCGAGTTGAATTTCGAGGGCTATTTGTAATCCGCTGCTGAATATCACGTACGAATTCGGGCGTTCGGACTAATTTGGGCCTCTGCTTCTTCACGTTTGCGATAGAGCCGGTTTGACGCCATTTCTTAACCAGGTTCTGAATACAACGTTTAGCCGGTGGTTTTGTTTCTGGGTGCTTGTCGGTGAAGGCCTCTTGCGTTTCCTTAATTGATCCAGTTCGCACATAGCCTTCCACAATCACTATTCGCTGCTGCAGGGAAAACACCATCTTTTCGACGCGACGTGTTCACAAGGACTGATTAGCAGGGCAAAATCAAGCTGGAAGTCTGCACATGGGGCGACAAGACGTCGCCAGACAGACAGACGGTCGGTAAGAACAGTGTGCAAGGGGCGACCACCTCCGCCACGCTCGGACCAGAGGCGGGCTACTTTTAAGTGGCCCACCCTGTACNNAAGGGTCTTTTACAGCTCAAGAGACTTTCTCACGGACACAGGAGAAAAACACTCTTTGTCTAAGGTGATAATATTTTCTTCTGCACTCAGAAAAAAGTGAGCGATATCCGAGAAAGGGAGAGAAACTGGAGTTGGCAGTTTTACTCCCTAAAAACGAGGAATTGCAATCGATAACTTCTTTATAAGAGCAAAATCCATATGTTTTTAAGAGCGCGAAACGAATGAGAGAGAGTACTTCTCAAACTAGTAGAAAAAGTTGATGGTTGTTCTCAGGAAATACAAAGGTCAGCAACATTACTTCCATGTTTTTTGGGGGTAAAACCGCTAACTCCAGTTTCGCTCCCTTTCAAGGAAATCGCTCTCTTTTCTAAGAGTTTAGGGCCTCGAATTCTCCCATCTGATGACGGTATTTGCGTGCAGGACGTACCTACCTACTGTACCTACAAAAAAACAAGAGTGTTGCAGCACGAGCTCTCAAATTGTACACACCTGGTTGATTTGGTTTGGGAGCTCTGCGACCAGTGTGGATGACGCTTCGCAGACGGTCGCAGTGCGGCTTTGTCGCAACACTTCGCAGTCAGTGTGCATCGGCCTTAAGGCCTTCAGGAAGTCTGGGTGGATTCCATGTGGACCGGCAGCCTTACCGGGCTTGGGTCGCTGCCAAAGCATCGTCAAGTTCCTGAATCGTGATTGGAACTGATAGGGGCGAAGGAACCTGCGGAGCAGCTAAGTTATTGTACTATGGAGCTGCTGTTTGACGGTGCGACGCGTGTTCTTTTCCAGCGGAGCCTTTGATGTTTGCATCAAGTGAGATGCAATGGTGTCCGCTTTGATGGCCGGTCTAGGTTCATGGACCGGGTTTGCTCCGCCGAGCTGTTGCAGCAGGGCCCAGGCTTTCCTGCTGGAGTAAGTGAAATTCATCTCCTTCATCAGCTTCTTCCACCTTTCGTCGCGTGCTGAGTTCAGGGACTCAAGCATTGCAGCAGCAGTTGCAGGATAATTGTTCCGCAGGTTCTCCTGGTAGAGGGTCTCACTCTCTACGGACCAGCAAGGTGTATACTCCTTCCTGTACCCTCGAGGCATGCTGCGCTTGACGGCGGCTTTTATGATGCCGATGAACCTGTGGGAGGCGTCAACCGTTGGCGGTACCCATCTGATGTTCGCGTCAACCGATGCTTGGAAGGTTTCTTAGTTGGCTTTCTTGAAGTTCCACCGAGGTTCCGCTGTTGATGTTATGACCAGGACCTCGATGCCATCATGGACGATGACGGGCCTGTGTTGGCTTTTAGGAAATTCTTCTAGGATGGTTCTTGAGGCAATGATGTGGTGTCCGTTGTTGTCTTTCGATAGGAAGCACAAGTCAGTGGTCTAGTCTCTCTGCCACCGTGCAAAGCGAAACGTTCCTCGGTCCTTCGCGTCAGGAGGAATTTACCCTCCATTGAAGACCACTCGGCGATTGCCTCTCCGCTGTCGTCGGTCTTTCCATGGCCCCACGTTGTGTGGTGGGTGTTAAAATCACCCAGATGGATAGCGGAGTGTTGGGTTGGAGGTACCGGTGGGTCAGGCCACTGCACGAGTGGGGAGTTGTATACACCTATGTTGGTGATTGTTAGGTCGCCAACTCGTATGTTTGTTGTTAAAACTCCAAGCCAGTATTGAGCCAATATTTAGCCGGTATTGGCAATAATGGAAAAATGCATGAAGAGTTCGTGCCCAATGTTAGTCCAGCATTGACCCAATATCTGATGTTACTGGGGTAGTAACACTAGATAGGTTCTTGGTCGTTTAGCGAAAAAAAGTATTTTTCCCTATTTGGCGATGCATGTTCCATGATACTACCATAAATGTTATTTAAAAAATGCGATTTAAGAAGGTATCATAATCAGTGGCGTAGCCAGGTTTTCGTCAATGGGGGGGCTAATTGGGGGCTAAGCGGAACGTTGGGGGGGGCTAACTTCGCCTTGTCAGGTTGGGGCGAACGCATTTCGACCAGAGTTGGGGGGGGGGGGNGGCGGGGGGGGGGGGGCGGGGGGGCCTTGAACCAAACTTGGGGGGCTGAAGGCCCCCCAGCCCCCCCCCTCGCTACGCCACTGATCATAATGCCATAACACTGCTGCAATATTCACGCAACGTTGGTCTTTGACATTCAACGTCGATGACACTGCATTGACTCTGGGGGGAACGTTCTCACAACGTTACTGTTTGCTGGGTTCATGCTTCTGTAGGGCGAAAACTTTTTGACCAAAACGAACGCGGCAAACGCCATTGCTCTTTAAAAATATGAAATTTTCGAAGTTATATCATATACTTTTTTCCTTCAGGCGATAATGAATATAGGAAAGCCAAATTGTGGCATATTCAGAAATTTGCATAACTTCAACATATTCATGAAACCCTATCATCATATATGTTTCTTAAATCAGCGGAAATGTGTGCCCCATGTTTATATCACCAAATTTGCTAGAATGTCCTCTATTTACATGCATAATGCCGACCAAAGCTAATAAGGCAAAGGGCTCCCCGGAAATTGCCCAGTATCGTTGTGGGCTAGACCGACCCTGAATAATAGAAAGATCACGTTTACATTGATAAAACAGTGGATTCTCGATACGGACTAGGAAGGCATTTGCATCATTGCAACGGAGACAAGTTCCATGAAATTTTAGAAATGCAAAAACGAAAGGTTGTCAGTTTCGTGATTGCCATCTGGTTTCACAACTTCAGGGATAACTAGCCTCTCAGATTCTCTTGAACGAATCTTGACCATCAGCCTCCACGGCTCCCTCATCCCTAAACAATTATGCTGTCCCGATCATAGTTCAAGGGGGGAGGGGGATGCCGGTGAACATGATCCAGAGTCAACTAATGAAAGACCTTGGGTAAAAATATCCGCCATACGTAGTATGGCAACCGTGGATTACAGCAGCATGTAAACGGAATCTGCGGACCACATCTGCAAGTGAGGTTGGCGGCCCACGTTCAATCATTTAATTGCTCGCTCAAAATGCTTGCATACCTAATTTTTGCAGCGACTGCAATCGTGTGCCTTGTTTCTGCCGTCTTCTACTTCTATCCCGTGAGTTACCGTATCAACGCCTTGGCGATTCAATGACCTAGGCCTAATGTTAGAACCTTCAGTGGCATCATAGGCAGCATCACAATGTGTTTGACTATAATTCTTCTAGCCCGTCTGCAGTGGTTTTCACTTGAGTTAGACAATTTTTCACCTGACTCAGACAAACATGCATGGGGCATTCCTCATTGGTGAGTGTCGAAGTCAAGTGAAAAACACCAGCAATTTGGAACTACGAACGACGTCGGACTCTCAGACGAATTAACGTTTTGAGTTGAATGAAATGAGGTTGAACTATTGTTTCTTCAACACCTGGCCATTGAAGGATTTCCCTGCAATTAAGCCAGTATTGGAGGCACAGCTCTATGCATTCATAATTTTTATACCTATACTTTCTGTAAAGAAGTAAATAAGCATGTTGACAGAGTTTGAGTCTGTTGTCATCCAAATGTATCACTAAACCAAAGAGGAGGCATTATTCATCCTGTCCATATATCATTCACTAGGAAATCCTTCCAGTATTTTGGAATGATTCCAGATTTCACTTGATAAAATGCATAGAAATACATCAAAGATAATCGGATCAGATCAGAGGACAAGTAACAGTAGCTATAATAAGATTCTGAACTTCAGACTTTCAATTGCTAGTGCAGAATTCCCCTGTCATTATATTAGTAGGATCTTAATGACCCTCTGGCCTGCTGATTTTGCCCATTCAAGGGGGACCTGCTTTGTACTGGCATGGTTTGTGGAGTCAGTCCATGTATCCCTATAGATTTGGTAATGTTGAAATAATCTAGTCAAGGTTTTATGCATTCTACCACCTCCTATTAAGAAAGAATTCAGGTGCAAATTAATTTTATCTCACTAATGGTATATATTAGTGTAGAGGTAATTATAATTAGAGGGTATACTAGGTATGGAGAAGAAAGAGATCAATGGAATGGTTCAGATGCATGATTATTTTACCACTTTGGTGTCATAGGCCAAGGTGTGGTGTGAGTTTATTACATTTCCCTTGGCATACTTCAGGTTGCATCTAAATTCTACAGGTGACCAGGTAGGCTAGACCAGGCTAAATTTTAGTTTAACCTTTCAAGTGGGTTTGGCGTGACTGTGGCGTCTGCTATATTGTATCTACTGCATGAGTTATATGTGGCAGTGAGACCTAAGTAAACTCAGTCTTTAATTTATACAATCTTGTTTTCTATTACATGCTCATGCTGTTGTGCAGAACTGCAAACATATTACCCCTGTGGGGGATATTTGGCATTTTAAAATTACCAGCTTGAAGGGTTAAACTGAAAAGAGCTTATGTGAAGCATTAGTTCATGTCTCATGAAGATTGAGTTGTAGGGGTACATTCATGTTTCCTGCAATGCCTATTACCTGTCCAAACTCTGAGATTATCTTCATGGTGAATTCCAGCTATAAATTCTCTCTTGGTCAATGCCATGTATATTCATGGTCAAGTATTCAAAACTCAAGGAACCACTTCTGAATATAGACAGCTAATGGATCCACTTAAGTAATTGCATTACTTGATATAGAGTGTGGCTTTAGCTGATTAGAACTGTTTGTCTCAACACTCAAATGATAATAATATTCTGTGGAAATATGGGGATGCTATGACTATATTTTTGTTCAAGTAAAGCTGGCATTCTCTAACTCCATTTGAGATGGTTGCAACTTCCCTCATTTTCATAGATAGCAATGAAAACAATGGGAGGCTCCAAATTGTGCTCATTTGGCAAAGCACCTCCCTATCTTGTGCACCATTTGTTTTAGAGGACCTTTTTTGACTGATCCCTGGAAGCATCACAAGAAATCTATGGGTTGAAACCAATTGTAAACTTTTCTGCCACTTGAGCAGTTTTAGAATTCATAGGACATAAGTTTAGAAAGTGTGCTCACCTTAGCAATTTACCTTATCAGATCATAGTTGTGAGTTATTAAAGTCAAGGAATGGTCATTGGTCAAAACTCCTAGTAGCTTGTCAGTGATTAACCCATTGGCATTAGAATTATTACACCATTTGCTTACCATGTTTTAGCATTTATTTTGAAAAGTAATCATTACTTTACAAAATGTAATGGTTTAAGATTTAACCTTTAGTACAAGGCTTGAAACTGCTTGAAGGTGGTTCCACCAACTCACTGAAGGACTCATGAAATTTCATCCTGGTAGTGGAGTACCATGCCTGGTAGCGATTCTACAAGATGGTCTTGTAGATCAATGTTAATGGGTTACTAAGTAGCTTAACTATTCACTGGGTGCAATAATACTAGATGGCACATTATAGGTATGGTGCTGCCCATGAATGGGGGGGAGTCACACAAGGAGGAGAATAGGACAAAATATGTTTTCAAAGAACTGCACAATTCTTCTTTGCATTGGCCTCCTCCCAATTTCTTCTCAAGACTTCAGAGGCACGACTAAGATAAAGGGAGCTTTTAGCTGAAGTAAAACATGCTACAAATGTGACAGAGTTCAGGGGTGGGCAAAAACAAAGTTGAATCCTTAATCAAACTTCACCTTCAAGAAGGTGCATGTTTCCTCAAAGCCACTCAATGATGCAAGGGTTTCAATGGAATCCCACGCCCCAAGGAGGTACATGTGCATGATATGAGTGGGATACTACTAATATTTTCCCGTGTTTTTTTATTTAAAAAAAATTCTCTACAATGGGAAACTGCTTGATACTTTTAAATTTTGACTTCCATTGCCTCTGTATTCTCTTTAGAGCTGCTAAATATTTTTTTTAATCAGTTGTGCTTCATGGACTAAATCATAACTCATGACAGAAACCCTTTTCAGTTAGCAACTCATGATGAAACCTATCATGTCAAGGGTTAATGTTAGCTGTGACAGCAGTTACCAAGTTTGATTTTCATAGGCCCATGGAAAGCGAAGACCTAGACTGAAAGAAACATGATGACAGGCCTTTCAGGCTGCCTTGATGCTCCAAGTAGAAACTTCAGACCATTGATTACTTACTGCATAATCATTCTTGGCCTGAGGAAATCCCTATGGTAGAGAAATTTAAGCATTATCATTGTAAAAGCAGTCTCTATCTGCATGTTTCCATAAGGAACACATTGAAACTTGCATGCTTGGCTCCCCCCAGTTCATTTGTATACTTCCTTCTGCCAGGTGTCTCCAATTTAATGCACCCAGCAAACAGCCAGAAAACATGAGGGTTCTTGGAGCATGCCATAAAGTGACTTCCAATACCTGCACCAACTATCTCCTAAGATCAATTTTATTTTCCAATGGATATGATACTTTCAAGTGGTCATTCCTTACAGTAACTGTGCCGGTAATCATATGAGGTGTGACCTACCGTATGGTCTGTGACCTATCACAGCACATTGGAAATTAACTGTGACCTACACAGTTTGCATAATATAAAATACACCTTTTTTAACATGATTTTATTTTCCAAAGCTACTTAGGCCCACAAATGTCATCATTTGACTATCGTCAGGTTTCACATTAGATTAATCAGTGAACATTGACTTGACATCCCTAATGAATACCTCGAACCTGTTGCTTGTGGGGTTGAGACCACGCCACCAGGCCTCAATGAGGTGCCTTAGCAGAAGCTCGAGCATTGTCCCATGCATTTTTTTTTTGTTTGATCTTGCAAAATGCCCTGTTCACGGAGTCAGTTAACTGCGCTCTCCTTACTACACGTACTGATTATTAAGTAAAAATCTCGGCATTGCATCGCTGCATCTACTGCTGCTGATAGAGCTACATGCCTCTATCTACCCCAATACACATGAGGTGGCAGATCCAAGGGAAGGGGGGGGAACGACTGCACCCCCCTATGGCCAGATTTGCATTCTATTTTTTTTAGTTTAAAAGGTACCTACATAAATCTTTATTGGGGCCAGTGAAGTAGCTATCCAAGTTTTTACCCCAGACGAAAAATGAAAATGGCATTAGGAAGTAGAGTGGTGGTAGATTGGGGAGAGGGGGGTTGTTAGAATTAGGGAATCCCCCTCCCCCTATGAAAAATTTCTGTATCCACAATTGTGTGCATGTGACCCCACCCATGCTTCCCATTCAGTGACACTGACAGGCATATTGGCATATTAAGGGTATATTTGGGGAGAGGGGTTGAGTCTGGGTTGACCGTTGACCCCCCTCCTCCCAAAGTAAACCTCCCAATATGCCTGTCAGGTCTTCATGCAGTGTTGTCGTTATAGTATAATGTAAGACACCACCCCACATGGTAGGTCACACCTCATACCCAAAGAGCTGTGGTAGGTCACAGGCCATACGGTAGGTCACACCTCATATGATTACCACTGTGCCTACTGTCAGCCCTTGCCATGAGATTTGTAATCATGAAACTTTAATGTGCTAAGGACAAAAACCCTCTGTGACCAGGATATTTACATGGGGTTTGTGGTATTTGGTTTGCTCACAAGGTGAACTTATGCCTTGGAGCATAGGTCTTTTCCCATAGCAGCCAGTGTTTATTGGTGTTCAGCTTATGTTAAACTTTACAATATAGCCTTTAAAGATATTCTGGTGGATCCTTCATAATACCTACTTCCATGGTATCCATTTATGTATAGGCATCGAGAAGGCCTACTACAGTTCCTGGTCCAGATCCATCAGATCCAAAGTGAGTGAAGTTGTTAGGCAGTCACTTTTAGCTGTATTCATTTCCATGGATAAATATAATTAATTTTACAGAGAGGGGAATTTGGGAGATATTTCATCAGCAGGTGGCCTCCATGATTATTTGGTGGAACTTCATGAAGAATTTGGAGACATAGTGTCCTTTTGGTGGGGCAAAGAACTTGTCATTAGTCTTGGTTCTCCAGATCTCTTGAAGGAGACTGCCCACATGTTCAACCGACCACGTAAGATCAAATCTTGCTATCTAGATAGTATATCATAAAATGAGGTTTACTAATTGGTTACTGTGAGGAGGCCTGAAAAGAACATGGTAATTTTTAGCCTTAGATGGATGATTTCCTTACACGCATCCCAGTGTCATAGGGCTGAAGCAAATACATCAAAGGGATATTGTGCATTTGAATGAACCAGCTGCATGATAGTGCCATAGTTGATGGATTTGCTTCCTATGTGATTTGTCTACTTTATGTATGAAGTGTAGCAATTTTACCTTAAAAATAAATCATGAACTAAAGAATTTATAGCTATTGATTCATATGAGAATTAAAAGGTGATTCCTAGGAAGGCATTTCAGCATGCATTTTGCTGTCCATACCAGCACTGAACCTGGAATGTGCTTTTCCAAACTTCATAACTTTCTTGTGAGTTTTCTTGCCACTTAAAAACTCCAATTGTTACTGCATCCAAGAACGTCATGGTTACCTAAAATAAAATTAAACCCTCGTTGCCGTCGCTCGAGAACCAGACCCCGAGGTACTTGAACTACTTCACCTGTTCTAGTGGGACCCCCTGACATGCAGGGTGCACTGTACAGGATTTCGGGAGAGGACCATGACCTGTGTCTTGGAGACGCTCAGTTTCATTCCGGCCGCAGTGCATTCGGAGTCGAACCGATCGAGCACGCTCTGGAGCTCCTGTGGAGAGCGCGTCAAAAAAACGGCATCGTCAGCAAAGAGAAGTATCCTTACCGCGACGTCACCGATGTTGACCCCCTCCAGGCCGAGGCTACACCTACTGTACAGATCCTGTCCATGTAAACGAGGAACAGGATAGGAGCGAGGACACAACCTTGCCAGAGTCCAGCGCGTACCAGGAAACAATCCGAACTCCTCCCACTCTCTCGAACGCAGCTAGTGCATTCATCGTTTAGAGACTGAACGGCCCGCAAAAGCTGACCCTTGATCCCATACTCCTGCAGCATTCCCCACGGTTTTCCTGGGGGCACAAGGGACGCTTTTTCGAGGTCTTTATAGACCTTGTAATATTCTTGGCATACCCCCAATGCCTCTCGAGGATTTGGTGGAGAGTGAAAAGTTGGTATGTGGCGATGCGCTCTTAACGAAAGTAGCACTGCTCCTTATGGCTCCACCCACAACTGCCCGAACACTCTTTTCCAGCATTTGAAATAGGCTTTATCGGGTATGCTGAGAGTGACCCCTTGGTAGTTGGTGAACTCTCTCGAATCGCCATTCTTAAAAAGAGGAACCGCCACACCGGTTTGCAAATCCCTAGGTGCTGTCCCCTATTCACAAGCGGTCTGACACCCTATACTGGCCTAAACGAGCACCCATCTGTGCCCAATGCTCTCAGAACCTCTGCCCGGATTTCATCCATACTAGGTGGCTTCCCATTCTTCAGGCTGACGATGGCCTGCAGAACTTCCTCCATGGTGAGACTAGTCTCCGTGCTGAGAGGCTCCAGTTCGGATAGGTTAATGTTCACTGTTGGTGGGTCCGACTTTGGAGGAGGTGACTTCGGAGCGCATCAAGGATATTTCCATCACCGAGGAGACGATCGTGACTATGATAGGGAAGTTAAAGGTGGGCAAGGCGACCGGCCCCGACGGGATTCCTGCTCGAGTCATCAAGGAAACCGCGAGAGAAATATCGGTTCCACTAAGAATTATATTTGAAAGCAGTTTTTCGCGCTGGGAATTACCTAAGGACTGGAGACTAGCGAACGTCGTACCGATCTTTAAGAAGGGCAAAAAGAGTAATCCAGGGAATTACAGGCGGGTAAGTCTCCCGAGTATCCCAGGGAAGATCATGAGAGCATCCTTAGGGACTACATTTTGGATTTCCTCGAAGGAAACGCGCTGATTTGGGACTCTCAACACGGCTTTAGGACGCGTCGAAATTGTCTCACCAATTTGCTCGAATTCTACGACTGGGCGACGGAAGAGAGGGATAAGGGGAATCCCGTGGACATCGTCTATTTAGATTTCGCGAAAGCTTTCGATACCGTTCCTCACAAGAGGTTGCGGGTTAAACTGGAGGCACACGGGATCCAGGGTAGGACGAGCGAGTGGATCAGTAGCTGGTTGGCAGGACGAGAGCAACGGGTGATGATAAATGGGGAAGCGTCG